GATATGTGCGCTTGGGCCGAAAAGGTGTGCAGGGCCGTTTTTTTTTTTTGTGTGGGCCTTGTTCTGAACGTGGCTTCTCCTGTCCTGTGCCGTCGTTCAGGGCGGCATCCGAGGAGAAGGTCACGGCCGCCGGCAAGGCCACTCACTGGGGTCGGTGGACGGTAGCCTGGAGGACGGCGATGGGTTAGACTCCACCAGCAATCAGGCACGAGGTCAGTAAACCTGCTGCAACCTCTTTGCATTCCGGAGCTTTCCTGGCCTATACGGCTGGCCTTTTTCCATAGATCTTCCAGTCCTTCTTCAGTGGGTGATACAAAAGAGACCTTTCCATGACGTTAAACTGGGCACACCCCGGAATAAACCCGAGACGTCTACCCACAGGGGCTTCGATCTCTACGCGAGGCTATGGAGATGCAAAGTGATGCTCCAAATGCCTGGCAGGCACCTTGCAACAAATTTCGAAGCTCCTGTTTGTGTCCATCTTCACGCGCCTTGCCACGGTTTCCACTCGCAGCCTGTCTACAGGGTTTCACCGGGGGTCACTTCTGTCTTGGGTCTTTTGCATAGATGATGCTTAGTTCCACCTGGTCCTCGTGTTTTGTTTCTTTTCGACAGACGAGTGTGAGTATCCATTGCTTTGACCGTGCAGGCGGTGCAACCCGTTGAGTTGGAAGAGGCGTTCCATTGTATGTTCTCTAACTAGGGTTTCTATGGGTTTCCTTTCCACTGCCTTATTAGGTTCTCGTCGACGAAGACCCGCAGCAGGCACGACGGGTCGCGGGTCCTACCTCTAGATCTTCCTTGGGCAAGATTTTCCGCCCAACTTCCGTTCGGCGCACCCGTCGCTCCCTTTTGGACAAGAACGCTTCCGTGCAGGCAGTGCAGCCGGTTGAGTTCGAAGAGGCGTTGTTTATGTGTGTCTTCAAACAAGGGATTCCTCTCCACTGCCCCACCTTGTGCTTTCAGGTTCTCGTCGACGATGACCCGCAGCAGGCACGATAGGTCGCGGAGGCTTCCGAGGGACACACGATGTGGCCTTTCAGGACAGAACATGAAACACATGTCAAACTAGTGACTCATGTTTCGTTTTGGTTCAAGAACGGCGACTTCGACAAAGCTGATAACTTGTGCGACAAAGGTCACGGACAGTATGCGCGGTGGACTCCGAGACTCCACGGCTAGATTGTCCTGCTTTGGTCGAGCTCCTGTGAGGGGAACGGGTCCGACTGCTTCTGTCACGCGCAAGCACGCCCAAGTCACGGGTACGAACGCCTAAGTCCTGGATGCATTCTTTAAAACGGCTACTTGGACAAAGATGATACCTTGTGTGACAAAGGTCTAGGACCTTATGTGCGCTGGACTCCACGGCTAGATTGTCCTGCTTTGGTCGCGATCCTTCTTCTGTGTTTCCAGACAGGACGCTCACAGAGATGCACACTTTTGTGTTCAAGTGCTCCTCCAAACTCCCGCGCGCAGAAAAATTGCCCCATGAAGATGCAGGTATATTAGGGCCAAAAACTTTGCCTTGTAGAGCGCGCCGCTGTCCTTTGCAGAACCCCCCGTTTGATGCATAGCGCTTGGACTCATCACCGCACGGTTGTTCTCGTTGTTCCTCACCGCTTCACGAATGGTGCGTCGCGTGTGGTGCGCTCGGTCGGACATATGTTTTCTTTCGTCTGCTGCTGCCACGTTTGCCAGGTTGCCCTGCCGGCTACGACCGGCCGGCCTCGGACCGTGTTTTCACCCATGCCGCGACCGCGGCCGCTCACTGTGTTCTCACTGTGATACACCCAGTGTCTGCAGAAAAGTCGCGTCTCCGTCCCGGCCTCTGAACCCCGTTGAGTGATTGACTGCTCACCGTGCCCGCCGGCTCAGTTCCTTGGATGCAAATATACCACACCGGGCGTCCCTAGCCGGCAGCTATTTCTCGGCGGGCATGTCGGTTCTCAGCCTGACCTACGAGGCGTGGACTGCGTTGTTGCATGCTGTACAGCTTTTTGCTGCCTGGTCATCTTGCAGGAGATCTTGGAGATTGTCGACGTACCGCTCGCGCGCAATAGTTGGGCCCATCTGTTGGCCGTCCTTCGTCGCACCTTTGACATCGCTGTTCCCGCTTTCGACCCCCAGACTTGGGCTTCGGCGATGGAGGTTCGCTTTGGCTCGGACTGGGCGGCCGCATGTCAGTCACCTCGCAGCTTTCCTGCACTCTGGCAGCCCCTCCTACTGCGGCATTCCTTGCACCTGCCCGCGCAGCACGCCGACATCCGCAGCCTCCACGCGTGTCACGCCTTTCTCGTGGGCCTGGGCATTCCCATTTCGTTCAACACGTGGCAGCGCGTTCGCGCCATGGCTCTCCACGCCCATCCAGCTAGTCTTCCAGATCTTTCTCCTCCAGCTCTGGCCCGCTTGCTCTGGGCATTGCATGGTCCTGCCGCTGCCGCGCCTGCTCACTGCCCTGACGACACCTTTGCGGCTGGACTGCAACACCTCCACGACTTTCTTTTCCGTTCCGCCCCAGCAGATGCTCCCCAGCCGCTCCCTTCGCAGCCACCTCGTCGCCCCATTTGCCGCCGCGCCCTCCGGGCGCGCCTCCTGACTACTGCCAATACTTTGCAAGACCTGGCCGCTGCCTCCATTGCTCCTCATCCATTGCCGCCCTCCGACCTTTCCGGGCGTTTGCTCGAGCTGTCCCACGGCTTGCAGGATGTGCTGCTTCGTCTACCTCCCTCCACTTCTGTGCGGGCAGCCAGCCTAGCCAATCTCCGGCCACGCAAACGTGCCCGGATCGGGCCACAACCTCCGGCTACATCCTCATGAACGCGCCGTGCGGCAGCGCTGTGCGACAGGATTCGAAAAAGTGTGCCCGCGCTGTATCCTAACCGTGCTGCCCTTGTTTTGCCTTTGCTGTCCGGACACCTGTAGTTATGACAATTCCATGCCCCTAGCTTCAACATGTCTTCACGTAAATCTAGCTTGAAGCTGAGCTTCCATACACGTCCATAGCCACGACACTTCCTTTTTTCGCTCCACTTCGGTTCGTACCGTCGCATATCCTTCTTTATGCGTGTGCATTTGTCGTTTTTTTTTTCTGGGCCCCAGCTGCTTTTGCACAAACTCTGCACTTGTGTTCTGCAACATACACACACACCTACACCTACACACACACACACACACGCTACCACACGCCCCTCATATAACATCTCCCACTTCCCCTCCGTACATATCTCTTCCAGACACACTTCCTTCGGCGATTTCACCCACAGTGTTCCACGAAGTACTTAGTTTTTCTGCTTACATGTCGGTCCCACGGCACTACATAGTTCTTTTCGCACCCTTATCCCCCACGAAATACTATCGCCAGCAGCATCTTGCACAGTTTTTCACCCACATACATTCCACGTCCTCCACTCCTCGTCACCCTCTGGATCTTCTGCCCGTGCCATGGCACTCCGTCTCCGCTATCGACAGAGCCTTCGCTCCGTTCCCATTCCTGCAGCTGCCCGTGAGGCAGCAGAGGCCCGCTACGCAGCCTTGCAGGCAGAGCGAGCGTATCTCCGGCGGCTCTGGTCTCCGAGCCAATGGGATGCAATTTGCCACGCCTTTGAGGCTGATTTCACCTTCGTTTCCCACCCCGATCTCTCTGCAGTCTTTCGCATCCGCCGGCGTATCCAGGGTCGCTGTGTGGAGGTCTCTGTTCCTGTCGGGCTTTGTCTTCGAGCCACTGTCCTGCTGGAATCCTTTCTGCTCGACCATCCCGCTGCCACAACCGTGGCCGTGCGCACTTACCTGCGGGATGTCACGCTTGTCGGCGACGCTCGATGTCCGGCCATACGCTATCGCCGTCACTTCTACCTCCTTCCAGCTGCGCTCGTTCACAGCGGCCTCGACGCGCTCTTCGCAGCTGTCGCCGCCTCCCCACCTGTTCGGGACAGTCTTCTCCCTGTCCCTGACTTCCGGGTGCTCTGGCAAGCTCTGCAAACACAAGCCCAACTTCCACCTCCAACTTCTTTGTTTCGCCTCCGCCTCCAACACTTCTCCTGCCACGTCCGCCCGTCCTGCGCCCTTGATGCTGCTTTGGCTCTGGCTCCGCTGCAAGCTCTCTCTTCCGACTCTGACATTTCGGGTCCGTGGCATGCTTTCTCTCTGTCTTGGGATGCTTCTTCCTCCACATCGGGGCACCTCTTTGATCCCGCCGCCCACTCCTACGCGTCTGCTCCTGCTGCGGCTGCGCCGCGCATCTTCGACGGGGACTCCTCGCGCCCATTGGCTCCGCCCTCTCCACCGGAGCCCTCTGCAGCCTGGCTCTGTCGCTTTTGTAGCCGGTCTTTCTCCGACCAGGCACTCTTCGAAGACCACTTGCGTCGCACCCATGATTGCTCTCTCACTGCGTATCCCTCTCTCTTGCGCACTGCTCTTGGGCATTCCTTCCCACGCCCCGCGGACCCTCTCGTTCTACGGCACATTCTGGCCCGCTTTCGTTCTGCTGCTCATGCTGCTTGGTCTACTCCACTGCAAGTTTGCGCATGCTGCGCCACGACGCCCTCTGACCCATCCCCTTTGCCGTACAATCTGCGCACACCAGCCTTTGACCTTCCTGCGTTGCATGACTTTCTCTCTGCCCATGGCTACGTGCAACGCTACCGTGCTCGCCTGCCGGCTTCCTTGCCCGACTCCTTTCTTGGGCTCACCTTCCCTGACCTCGCTGACCACTCCCTCCCGGCCCCTGCCCTGCCAACTCTTCAACACAGCTTCGACGACCGCTGGCTCCTCTTCCTCGCTGACCCCTCTGCTCGTGAAGCTTGGATTGCTGCCTGCCATGATTCTACGCTTCCTCTTTCCGTGCCTCTCTGTCTTCCTTGCGCGGCAGCCCTGCAAGGCCCACGCGCCTCGATGCCTAGCCGTGCACTTGCCAATGACAATGTGCACGTGCCATTGCCTTCGGATCTCCGTGATCTCACTCCAGCAGAGATCCTCTTCATTTCCCGCGGCTTCACCCTTTGTCGGCTCATTACGTTGCCATGCCGTGGCCCGCCACAGGCGCGTCAACAAGCTTTACTGGGCAATGTGATTAGCTTTCCGCAAAACAGTGCCACTCTCGTGCCTTTCCTCCCTCGCTCCCTCGCCACCGTTGCCGAGCATGTCACTGTCTTCTTTCCGGCTGATGATGCAGCGAGCCTTCGCCATGCTCCTGAATTCGTCGTTCGCCGCGCGCGTGTGCACGCTGCCATTCTTTGGCTGCAGGCGCACAATCCCTTCTATGCTGATGTTTTGGTCGACGACGCTGCGCTGGCTGCTCTGCCTGAGGATGGAATTCCCTTGCCTCTCCTCACTGCTGCTCGTCCGCTTCCAGAAGCTTCCATTGGTGCTGAGCCTGGCCCCTCCGAGGCGACTTTCGCGCCTCCTGCAGCTGCTCCTGCGCCGCACGCTTTGTCCGCAGCTGTCCTGGATGTCGAGGGTGAAGCTACGCATCCACTGGCCCTGTGGCAACGATGTTTGCTCGCTGTCGACGACGCCTGTCAAACTTTATCGACCGCTCCCGCCGACGCTGTACTTGCTGCCGCCTCAGCCGATCGGGTTGCCCTTGCTGCTGGCGCGCTCCTCGACGCTCCCGTTCCTGCGGTTGACGCTCTTCCTGCTGCAGCTGCAGCACCTGCCACCACTTGCTTCGTGGTGCCCCACGGCTCATCTCCTCTCAGCGCCTTTGACGAAAGTTATTGGACCTTATGTTTTCCTCATCTTTTTCCTTTTGGAGAAGCCACAGAGCGCTCGCCGCGCATCGTTCGGATTCAGGATCGGCTTTGGTTCCGCTCGCTCCTCCTTCGCGCCGATCGTTCCAGTGCCTCCTTCCCTTGGCGTCTTGACCACTCCTTTGCGGCCGTCAGCTTCGCTGTCTTGCACCGTCGCGCCCTCATGCGCGCAGTGCACGCCAAACTTTCGGCCCCCGGTTTTCGCCGTGTCCTCTCGGATCTGCAGGCTCTTCGCGCCGTCGATTTCCGCCGCGTCTACGACGTCCTCGGTGAGCACGGTGGGATCCCCCAGGCCCTGCGACACGATGGTGTCTCAGCTGCCATGAAAAATCTGCTCGGCGCCCTCCGCCTCGTCACTGGGTCCGTTCCATGCACCGATGCTGCCCGCTCCATTATGCGACATGAACTCACTGCCCTCCAGATCTTCTTTGGTCTCCCCACTCTCTTCCTTACTTTCAATCCCTGCGACACTCGCCATCCCTTCACCGCGGCCTTCCATCATCCCAACTCCAACTCCCTCTCTCCGCTCCCCCTTCCCTCTGGGGACGACGCACTCTTTGCAGCGCTGCAGCAACTCGACTTGCCTACTCTCGTTGCCAGTGATCCTGTTGCGGCCACGCGGGCCTTTCACCTCCACGTCTCTCTCTTCCTGGCGGAGCTGCTCGGCCACTCCTTGCCCACAGCGCGCCCGTCCTCTCCTCGTACTGTAGAAGGCATTTTTGGTCATGTCGATGCCTTTTACGGTGTCACCGAACCGCAAAATCGCGGAAGCTTGCATCTGCACATCCTTGTCCATCTCTCCAGCTTCACATCTCCTCAGTGCCTGATTGCCCGCTTTCACTCGTGCTTGCCTTTGCTCTCGGAGGCTTTGGTCCAGTGGGCTGCATCTATGCAACACACTTCTGTTGAAGCTCTTCCGCAAGCCTTCTTGACTCCTGCCGCCACGGACACACTGCGGAGTTTGCAGCCACTTCCTTTCTCCCGCGCACATCGTCGCTCCCTGGGTCCTTCCATGGCACCCTTCCTTACCACCGCATCTGACCACTGGTTCGCTGCAGCTCCGCTTCGTCGCATGTGCGTCGACTGCTCCGGCGCCGCTTCTTGGTTTGACCCGTTCTCCGATCTGGCCGCCTCCCGTCCCCCGACCCTCCCGTGGCCCCGCCTGTATTTAGATTCCGACAGCACTGCAACTTCGCGCGATTGGATGGATTGTCTCCTCTACGATGTTCGGCATACGGTCGTCCAGTGTGGCCTCCACGAATGCCGACCTGCTACGTGCTGGAAAGGCTGGCTTGGTCGCATTCATTTTTGCCGTCTAGGTTTTTGGCATTGGGAGCCGTGCCCTCCGAATCCGCGTACGTGGCGTCGTATGCACGGCCATGCCTTGCAACCTTCCTGCGTCATTGGCCACATTCCACCTTCGCGCGGCCTCCTCCTTCCGGAGCGGCATCATCCGTTTTTCGGCAAAACACATGCGGCCATCCTCGTTGCGACCAAATCCAACCATGATGTCAGCCTTCTTCTTCGAGCACCGCCCGCAGACGTTCCCTTGGATGAAGCGACCTACTTGCAGTTCATGCTCACCAGCATGCGGAGCACTACCTTCTACGTCACCAGCTATTCCAGCAAGGTCCAACCTCAACTGGCCAATCTCTGGTCCTTGCTTATGTCTGGCCAGGCCAGTCTCGAGGCTGAGATCGAAACTCGCGCTGAGCCGCTGCCTGCCCTTGCGCATGCTTCTCGCGTTTTGCACCGAATGATCTCTGCGTGCCAAAGACGCGTCCACAAGAGCATGCCCGAGATGCTACAATTCTTATTGGGTTTCCCCGAAGCGTACAAATCCCATTCATTTCAACGTCTCTTCCTGGCGGACTTGCTTCCGCACGCGGAATCCTTGCTCGCCAGTCCGTCCGAAACCAGGGCGCTTCCAACTCCTGTTCTCTTCCAGCCACCCACTGCCGACGCTCTCGCTCCTGCCCCTGCTGCTGCTGCTATCCCCATCCGCCTTGTCCCGCAGCATCTTGACTACATTCATCGCGCAACCTCCCTCGCCTCTTGGCCGCTGTACTTTTACGTCGCAGGCGTGCGTCGGTGTCCTCGGACACAAATTTCCTCTGCTTGCCACGTGGTGCGCTTTCACGCATCGCATCCACTCAGCTCTTCGCATGTGCAAAAGGTTCTCTTGCAAGACACTTGGGCTATCCCTCTCTTGTCTGGCGCCCGCCTGCCTGATCCCGTGGGCGACCCCGAGCGTTTCGCTTTGCTTGCTTTGCTGCTGCTCAAACCTTGGTCTGACGCCACTTTGCGCGACCTCTTAGCCCCCGCCAGTGTCTCTGAACCTTCCTTTGCCACTTGGTCCGCTGCCCTCCGTGCCTTTGAAAGCTCCTTGCAGGCCATTCTCGGACCCGCTGCTTCCACTCATCGTGCGCCTCCCTTTTCTGCGCAGTATTGGGCACAGCGCTCCGTGGACGTTCTCTTGCACCTTCGTAATATCAGTTCCGGGCATTTCCAGGACCCGAACGCCGCGGCAGTGCGCTCCAACCCCGATGCCGCTGCCGGCTACTCTGGCTCCGTGGAGTTGCCTCAACCTGGTGTTTCTGATGCTCCTTCCTCATGTTCTGACGATGACATCGATGTCGCCTCCCTTGATGGCGCCGCCTTCGACGAACCCGATCCTCTGCCCGCTGGACATCCTACCAGCGCCTGCACCAACTTCTTGAGTTGGCAAGACATTCACGACGCCTGCCATGGTCTCCACGCCGCTGCCGACCGCTATTCTTCCCACTTTCGCTCCCATGCTACCTTCGCCTTCCCCTTGGCTTCTGCACCACCCGCTGCAGCTGACCAACCCGCAGTTTCGTCGGCTTTGCCGGTTGCTGCCCTGCTGCACACTGAAACTGATTGGGCTTCTGCGATCGCTTCTTCTGTGCCGTACCTGTCGGCTCCGTCCCCGTCCTCCTCCTCTCTCTCGCCGGCTCACACATCTCCTTTGGACACTGTTGCTGCCTGGGTGCAACAAGGTCGTTGTAACCAACCTGATGGACGCCTGAACCTCAAGCAAGCTGCTATGCTTTGCCTGCATGCTCTATGGTTGCATGATTTCACTATCCACAGACGCTCGCTGCTCGCGACGTCCCCACCGAGACAATCCTCCATTCTCCTCGGCGGCCCCGGCACTGGCAAATCCTACATCCTGCACCTACTCAACGATCTCAATTCCAGGTATTTGCCCGACGCGACGAAAATCTGTGCTCTCATGCACACTGCTGCTCGCTTAGTCCGCGGTCGTACCTTACACAGTGCTTTATCCATTCCCTTCGAGCCTTTGCATGCCAAAAACAAATCCTTGGGCGACAAGAAAGAGGAGCTTTTGGCCAGCTGGGCGCCGATCTTCTCCCTCTTGCTCGACGAAATTTCTACCATTCCATCTGAAGTCCTGGGCGTGGCCGAGTTCCGCTGCTGTCAAGTCAAGAACGAGCCTTTTCGCTCCTGGGGCGGTGTGAGCGTGCATGCGTGTGGAGATTTCCTGCAACTTCCCCCTGTGAAAGCTACGAGCTTGGCTACTGACGTGGAACCACCTCCTCTCCTAGCCTCCGATGCCCGCCGCCGTTGGGTGCAAGCACATGCCCCCGCCCAGCGCGGGCGCTCTGTATGGCTTTCCTTCCAGCATTGCATCCTTCTCCAGCACAGCCATCGCTGCGCTGGCGTGCTCGCTGACATTCTCGCGCAGCTGCGTTCCGACACTCTGTCTGATGCCAGCTGGGCTGCTCTGCGTGCCCGCCTCATTTTACCTCATGATGCCCGCCTTGAACTCCCTGCTTTTCGTTCCCCGCGCACTGCCATAGGAGTCATTCGCCACTCTTTACGCGCACTCCTGACACTCGAACGCAGCCAACCTCTGGCAGCTGCTTCTGGTCACCGCCTCCTTGTCGTGCCTGCCGCAGACCGCCTTACCCGCACAGACCGCGGGCCTCCCGCAGATCCTGCCTTCCTTCGTCGCTGTCTAGCGGTCCACAACCTCAACACAACGAGAAACCTGCCTGGCTACCTCTTTCTCTGGCCTTCCTGCGAGTTGATCTTGGAAGCGGTCCTGTGCCCCGACCTTGGGATCACCCGCGGATGTCGAGTACGTTTCCTCGACGTGCTGCTGCCACCCGGTGCTCTCCGCCCTGCTCCCGATCCAACGTTGCCGCCCTTTGTTTTTTCCACTATGCCTTTAGCCTTTCTTCTCGCAGTTCCGGGCGCTACCTGGATCAAAGACCCGGCTCTCGGCCCCGGCCGCTTTCTCTTGTCCCCGCAGACGCGTTCCTGGACTTTCCGCCCTACCGCCGCCGAGACGGACTTTTGCCCGGCCACCGTGCACCGCACCCAATTCCCTCTCACCAATGCCATCGCCTTCACCGCCTACTCCCTGCAAGGCTCCACCCTGCCATCTATCTTGCTTGACCTTGCAAAACCTCCAGGCATGACCCGCGATGACTTTTGGATGCATCTATACGTTCTTTTGTCTCGCGTTCCTCACCTGGATGACCTTCTCCTTTTTCGTCTTCCTTCTCGTGCGCAGTGTCACGGTGGCCCGCCCGCGTGGCTTCAAGCCGAGCTCACCCGCCTTGAACGTCTGGAACGCAGTACTCTACTCGACATCGACTCTCGCTTGGCTGCCGCTGCCCGTCCAGACTTGCGGACTCTCGTCACTCATCCTCTCCTTGCGCTTCCCGCTCCCACCACCGCTCCAGATCTGCTGCCCTCCTCCGCTTCGCCAGTCTGCTCACCTCGCCGCCGCGAACCGCGGCCTTTGGCACCACGGACGCCAACTGCCGCCACTTCCTCTTTCTCAACCGCTGGCACACATGCGTCTCCTCCTGCGCCTTTGTCCTCCCAGAAGCGCCCCCCTCCCTCTCCTGTTGCTTCCCAGCCGCTTGCTTCTGCACCTTCTTCCAACGCTTCTCCGCAATGCCCGCCGCCGTCTGACCCCCGTCGCTGCCTCTGCCTCCGCGCCCTTTCTCTCTCTTCTGCTTCCACCTCCACCCAGCCGACCGCTCCACACAGCCTTCCCTCCGCTCGCTCCCGGCGCCGTCGGATGCCTTACTAGCCTCCTGCCTGCCGGCTCCTCGCTTCTGTCCTAATCGCCTCTGTCGCATGTGGCCTTGCGTTCTGCTTCCACGTGCCTGCTCTGCCGCTTGGTTGCATTACTTTCGATTTCTTTTCTCCCTTTGCTCGCATCTCCTGCCACACCCTCCCTTGCAGGTTCGCTGCGGCTCCCCTGCGATTTTCTTCCGACGTGGACTTCTACAAGGACTTGCGCGCGCTGATCTCTGCGCTACCGCTTCTATGACCAATCTTACTGTGACCATCTTTCTTCTGTTTTTAGCTCAAGCTCCCGCCTCTCGTTCCCTTGCTCCTATCTGCTTCGCCCGATCTGCTTCGCCATGAGCAACTCTGCGCGGCAGACCCGTGCTCCTTGGTGCGCATTTTTATCTTCTTCTCCGCCGCGAATTCTTCGTGGCACTCCTTTTTTCTTCCTCTTTCGCCCTCCTTTCCATCTCAGGCATCTCTTGCTGCTCCTGCAGGCCGCGCTGCTCCGAAGCAGGCATCCACGCTCGGCCTTTCTTTTCCTTCGCGCCGCTCTCCTGGTCCCTTTCATATGCCTCCCACGAACCGCTGCCAGGCGTCTGCTGCCGCGCCCCCTCCGCCGCCCAACTCTGCAGCTTCTGCTCCGAAGGCTTTCGAACTATGCGTTCTTCCCCTCACATCCTCCCTCGCCCTCTTTGCTCAGGCGTCTGCGCCCACAGCCCTGCCCTCGCCGCAGGCTCTACTGCTCCTTCGTGTCTTTGCGTTTTTCCGTTGCACTTCCTATTACCTATCGTCTCCATCTTTTTCTGCTGTATAGGCGCCCGCACAGCCAACCGAGGCCTGCATGGTGCCTTTGTTGGTTTTCTACCTTCATGCTTCTCCACACATGCCTCGCAACTTCCGGCTCTCGTTCGTTGCCAGGCACGCCTCCCCACGTCGCCCCAGGTTCGGCTGCGCATGAGCCTTTTCGCTGTCACCTTGTTTTTTCCACACACGTGTATATATAGTTCTTCTCCGCTCCCGTGCAGGCCTCACCGAAGAAGCGTCAGATGACGCCGCTTCCAGCGGCCCCAGCCGCGAAGGCCTTGAAGCTGCATGATGTCCAACGGTCCAAGGCTATGTCCGACCTGGAGCTCACGGTTGTGCTCCACCCGTACTCGAACAACGGTGAACTCGTCCATGAGCACTTACGTGACCACGTCACGCAGATCCTCTGGCAAGCCGATCCACGAGCATTTGAGTATACCCACCGCACCGTTCCTCGTCCGCAACTTCGAACACTCCCCTCGCCCCTTTCTCCCCGCCTTTTCCTCAGGCTTGGGCCGACTTCTTGAAGCAGGAGAGCTTGACGGACACGTCCCTTCTGGCCAACTTCCAGATCTTGCCCCGCGTTGCTTCCGGCCCAACTTTCCAGAAAGGGCTTTACTGTGGTGGCGCCCTCCCGGGCGCTTTGCAAGGCCTCTCCCTCCTGGAGAATTACTTCTTGCGCCGGCTTGAGGCGCCCACCCTGGCTACTACGGTCACCAAGGCGCTTCGCTTCTGCTTCTGTTCCCGTCCTTTCTCTCACTTTCCATTTCTACCTTGCCCTTAGGTCCACATCCTGAACAAGACCACCTACGACTTCAAGGACCACTTTGCCTCCACGTTGCTCCCCGGTTTCACGCTCACCACGGAGGGCGACACGACTATGTCACCCCTGAGCTTACCTCCCCCTCATCGCCCCTTGCGTTTGAAGCTCAAGGTGCAGGGCTCCCAGGCTTGCTTGGAGTTCCACGGGTACAACTACCCACTCCGTGCGGCCTTCGACAGCTGTGATCACCCCATCGGCCAGGGCCTCAGCTTTTTGTTTCTATGTCTTTTTCTTTAACCTCTCCGCTCTTCAGGCGGCGGCTACTTGGACAAAGATGATAACTTGTGTGAGAAAGGTCAAGGACCTTATGTGCGTTGGACTCCACTCCTTGACTGTCCTGCTTTGGTCGCGATCCTGCACGAGGTGTTGGACGGCACCTGCGCTCCCATGCAGGTTGTCGGCGATAAATTGCCCGACGACTTCGTGTTCCCACCGAACGTCATCCTGGAGTGATGCCTCGACATCGTGCCATCTCAGCTTCCAAAATGACCTCTCGCGCTTTCGCTATCTCGCTTTTTTCTTTTTGTCCATGCTTCCGCTCATCTCTTCGATTTTGCTTCCCAGGACCGCTTCGTCTTCACTCACCTCCCTTCGTGCTGACCCTCTGCCTCCTCAGCATGCCTTCCTTTTTCTTCCCTTCGCCCGTCGCTATCTTCTCGAGGTACCTCGCATTCCTCTGGTCTTGCTGTCTCCTTAGATTCTTTCCCACCTGAGTTGTTTGCGCTTGCTGCTTCTCTCACATTCCCCACGCCAGGCAGACCTATACACTGCCACCTCTACAGTGCCTTTGCCCTCCCTGCAACACGTACGTCCGGCTCTCAGACTTACCTTCTTTCCCTTCCGCCCTGGCCAACCGCTCCGTCCCAGGTCTACTCTCGACTACTGCACTACTCCGTCCAGGCCTCAGATCGAGCCTTTTTTCTTTCCTTTTCTGCATATCTTTTACATCAACGTCTTCTATCCGCTTCCTCCTGTTGTGCCTGTCGCTCCCGGACCGTTCGGCCACCCACCACACGACGCGTCTCCATCCTTTTCCGTTACATCGTCTGCTGTGCGCTTGCGCCTCGCTCCTCCTTGCAAGCCCCCAACACCACTATACCCCTAGCCTTATCTCTTGCACCGCTCCTCACTGCCAGATACCGCTCTGCTCTTAGCTGCTCTCCGCTCCACCGCGACCACACCTTTGCCTGAGCCTTACAATCTGCTCCTGTTGCCGACGTTTCATGTCCGCGCATGCTTTCGCTCCGATCCTGTCAGGCCCGCTCACGCCAGCCACGTCCCGACCTCAGACGTCTACATCCTTTGCTGTCGCTTTCGTTGCCTTGCTTCTCCTTTTGCCTGTGTCGCCGTTCTCTCTGTCTTCGCGCTCCTGTCCTTGTCACACACTACTGCTACTACTACTCCTGTTGCTCTGCCACACAAACTCTACCCCGCAAGCGACGATAGTTTGCCAAGTTCCGCTCAAGCTTGACGACCATTCACCCTACCCCCTCTGAGCCCCAGCCCCTTCTGAGTAAGTCTGAGCGACTTCAATGTTGAAACCGCTACACGTTCAAGCTCTTCAAGCTCCACACCCACAGAGACAGCAATACAGCTTCACAATCCAACTAAAACATGTGCTCCCATAAGACGGAGTCCTTTATGCTGGCCTCATCAACATAATCCTGAATCCTCCCGGGGGGTTACGGATTACAAACTCTCGGATTGTCCGGTGTGGGGCGGATTACGGACTAGCGCCCAGAACCCCCGTTTTGAGACTAGGATTACGGATTCGCGCTTTAGCTTGTTTGCGTGTACAATCCTTCCTATTGGTGCAACGCCTCTGATCCTGAAGCACCTTCGGCTCCATTGCCGAGCTGGCGCGATGGTCGTCAGGATCCCTATGACCACGAACACCCTTCCCAATCCCCATGGCCACAAACACCTTTCACAGTCCAGAAACCCGAGTTCAGTGCTTTGAATTTTTGGCTTCCAAATCGAGGCTATGAGGCTTCCTCTGGCCACAAGCACCCTTCGGAATCCCGATGGCCACAAACACCCTTCACAATCCAGAGCCGCAAGTTCGGTGGTTTAACTTGTTTCTGCCGATGGATCTTTTTGCGGCCGCGTGTTTGCTTTTTGTCTTCTGTATGCAGTTTTTTCCACCAGCGAAAAGTCTTACTTCTTAAGAGGTGCCTCCCACATCTAGGGACGAACTCTCGCGTCAGTGCTTTCCTCAGATACTGGACTTTTTACATGCGATCCAAAACACATCTGACAGAATGACCTTGTTGCTTATGCACACTCGCATGGTGAGGTTCTTGCCCCCCCGTGGCAGCACTCCTGTCGCGCTTGATTTCGCTCTCGGCCTACACGTTTCTTCCTAGGTTGTCAAGTGCTGAAGAGTTTTCTGGATGCTTGATACTTCCACACTGACTCACTTACTCGCCGCACGCAGACAGAGGCTACAACACACGAAGAGGCCATTTTTACCCTCGTTTCTGTACTGTGACTGTGCGGCGAACGTTTGATTCCTTTCCTTGTCTATATTGTTCTTCTGCTTCTTAGGCGCCTCTTCCGCTACAGATGCTCACCGTTGACCTAGTGCTGCGATGGCAACGTGAATGTGCTGAGAACGCATGACACTCAGCAAAGGAAAGGACTCGACACGTCCACGAGGTTCCAAAGTATTCTGTTCGGTGACGGCGCGGCCAACCTTACGCTGTCGCCTAGGACCAAGATTTCTACTTTGCGAGCGGCTCACACTACCTCCTGGAACAGGTGGGTTGCTTACAGACAGCCACGTCTTCAAAGCCTTAAAATGGTCTATCATACGGCACGGCTTTCGCGTCGGCCGTCACTACTTGACCTGCGCACAGCATCATAGAGTTTCTGTACGGAGACACGCAACGTCGTGCCTCCAGGTGATGTGACGAGCACTTTCTGGGCGACGCTCGCAGCTTTGCCGCAGGCGGCTTGGGCCCTCCTTGCTTGCGCTCTTGCGATACATGCCATATGTTTCTTTCAATTTTCTCAGTCAAGCGGGCCCCTTGACCATACCAGGTTCTACTACTGCTAGTCCATGCATTGCTGTTCTTGTACTCCTATCTTTTTCACGCATTCCTCCGCGCAACCCTGACTGCGCAACTGCCTCCCATCGATTCAATGTTTTCGCCCCGGCTCCATGCAGATAACCAAGCATGCACATTTAGCTTCTAACCTCCTTTTTCAGTCGACATTGACCGAACTCGCAGGAGTTGACCCCCATGCTGCAGCATTTGGAGAAGGCCACCACGTGAGGAAGACAGCGCCAAGGAAACGCGGGTTTCTGCGCACGGCAGGGCTGCAGGGCAGGGCTTTGTTCCATTAAACGAATAACACCCATTCTGCTAGTGGGTATTGATGGACATCCAGCATGGTTTTTTCACGCGTGGCCGAAACGGACGCCCCCATAACGACCGGCCGTCCACGCCGTTTCCGACCGTTGACCGACCGGCCCGTTGACCGACAGCCGGGGGCGTTCGTTGACCACGATTCAAGGGAAGCAAAATGCATGATGTGAAAGAGAGACCTTCATTATGCCTCCTTAACTTCAAGGTTTCCTCCGGCGCGGCCATGCGTGCGCTCATGCGCCCGGAGCAACAGGATCTGCGCTTGAAGGAGAATACTGCACACGCAGGACACTCCAGCGGGGTGCGAAAGCAGCATGGGGATGGTTCCACTGGGTTTTCCATTTTACTCTCTTCGTTGGTTTCTTGGGGCGTTGCATCCTGCTAACTTGTTGCGAATAATAGAGACTTCGCAGCCCCTCAACAGCCAAATGGTTTGAACTCCTTTGTGATACCAAGAGGGGCTTCTCTTATGCCACTCCATCCCACTCCATGTAGTCAAATATGAGGTAGCCCTTTGGTGATGCTTTGCTTTGGCCTCATCCTTTTCAAATATATACACACCGTCGTCGAGTAGACTGAATCGTCTCCTCCGCAAACTGAGCCAGCAGTCCCGGACGGAGTTTCAATCGTAGGCCCTGATCCGCCCTGATCCGGAGATCCAAAGTGCATAGGGGTGTGCACTGACACACGGGGAACACACAAAACATTTCAAGAGGTGATTATCAGGTGATGATCAACGTGTGGAGCTTCATGGATATGTCTTCACACTGAGTCGGACTCGCTTTGCTGCCTCCTCACTGGCAGGCCCAGACGCAAACCGCTTTGGAGGCAGGCAGAGATTTGGCATTCGAGCTTCTCTCTTTAAATGCCACACTCGAAGAGCAAACCCTTCAACGTGAATGCGGACCCCTCTAAGTTCAAGGTGATTCACCTGCCACCTGGCTACGTGGATCTTTTAGGGACCCACTAATATAGGTCAATACCTCACATCCCCATTACTGGGAAACAAGAGGCTCTTAGGTGGAAACCATCGCTATTAGGTTGGACTTCCTTCTGGTAACAAGACGCTAGTACGTTCTTTTCTCCAGAGGGAGCTGCCTTGGAACCACTGCTCGTACTTTCTTTATTCATTGCTTCCTTCCTTCCTAGGTGCCTTGGCTGGGGGCGTTCGTTCACCGACTCGCACAGGCGGAGTTGACTGAGTCATCCATCGAGCTGTTGCGCTCGGTGGCGCCAGTACTGGTCGAGTTTCACCGCGTTGATGATGGCAACCTGCTGGCATGAAAAAGCCCACGCGGTCCTCAGAGCTCTCATGCATCACCATGTCGACTCTTGCCTTTTTCTTCCTTCCTCTCCCGTTCTCTGCTCTTCCCGCTGTCCTACCTTTCGTGTCTCCCTCCTCTCAAGTTAGGACTATAGATGATGTCAGGCCAGGTCGTGCAAATCGATCGGTGATGCAGATGAGTACGGGCCTGGAGGATGATGCCAGGCCACATAGTGGAAATGGATCAGCGCTACAGTTAAAGTTGGGCCAGGACCCGCATAGCGTGAGCTCAGTGATGCACATGAA